ATAATTGGGCTCATTTCGGAAGTGTGGGTTCCTAAGATCATCTTTGAAAAGAATAGTCTTTGCCAGGTGGCTCCTCTCTGTCAGGCAGCCACTCAACAGTAAGAGAAGGCCATTCAAGAGCGTGGGTGATCACTAGATCAACAAAAAAGGAGTGTTCTTCTTAGATCTTGTATTCTTCTTATCAAACTTTCTTCTATCTCTCCTCTCATTTCTTCCGTCTTTTCCCATTCCTCGTCTCTCAGTTTCCAGTAAACAAACCCTAGAACCAAGTTCAATAATTACACTTCAGCAAAGAGCCTTTCTCTGAGACTTGAACAGTATATTGTAAAATCCTCTTATCAAAAAAACAAAGAACAATTTTACACTACGCAAATATACCCACAATAGATATGGCGTGAAGCAGGGCCGGGGACCCCATTCTCCGCCCCCGCCCCACTTCAGGGATGACTGCTTAAAAAACCACCAATAAACATCCAAAAAAATGCCTAAAAAAATGCTCCAAACACCCACAATGAATAGCTCTAAACTAGCTCATCACCCCCACAAAACAGCTTGTAAAACTGCACAAATCAGCCCCATACCTTGGTAAAAAGCAGCTTCGAACACCCAATAATTTGCCTAAAAAGGCTGCTCCGAACACCCCCAAATTTGCCTAAAAAGGCTGCTCCAAACACCCACAACTAATAGCCCAAAACCTGCACATAAATTGTTGGTAGCAGTCCTAAAATCAGCACAAAAATCAGCCCATAACTTGCTTAAAACCACCAATAAACATAAAAAAAATGCCAAAAAATATGTTCCAAAAACACCAATGAATAGCTATAAACTAGCTCATCCCCACATAACAGCTTGTAAAACTACACAAATGCTCCATACCTTGGTTAAAATGAAGCTTCGAACACCACAAATTTGCCTAAAAAAGTTCTCCCAAACACCCACAACTAATAGCCAAAAAACCTGCACTTAAATTGTTGGTCAGCAGTCCATAAATCTACGCAAAAATCAGCCCCATAACTTTTAAAAACCATCAATAAACATCCAAAAATGCCTAAAAAAATGCTCCAAACACCCAAAATGAATAGCTTCAAAACCAGCTCATCTCCCCCACCAAAACAGTTTGTAAAACGCACAAAACATTATCCTACGAAATGAATGTGTATTAAAAATCTATACATCGAGTATTATGTAAAACATTAATGATATTCTAAAACTTGCCAGTTGCCACATCAAAAATTTATTTTGATTGTTTTCATAACACAACGCAGAAAAAAAGAAAAAAAAAAAAAAAAGGCCATAGCCTTCCGTTGTCTGATCCTCAAATGCATATGCCAATCACACAGTCAACTTCCTAACCAGTAACTCAGCTTGAAATACCCACTAACCATACGAAAATTGCATTATAGAGGAGAAATAGGGTGTAATCACATTGGGAAAGGGTATCGACTACCGAGCTTGCGCCTTGCGGTTTCTGCATGCTCCTGAAAGAGATAAATCGAAAAGAGCTTCAAGTCTTCAACTATCAAGCCGGCCAGAGATCGTTAATTTCGCAAGGACAAGAGAATAGTAACGTCGGACACCAAGAAGACCGGAGCTGCACGTCGGAACTTTAAGTGTCGAGCGGCAGAAGATGGGGAGTTCAGCGGCGGCGGACGGGAATTTAGGGTTGGGTGTGCGCAATTTGGGTATGTGGGTCTATAAATGCAGGATAAATCTGTAATATTTGAAATTGTCCAGGGCATTGGAATTTCTGATACGGGCATAAAAGGGAGTTTTTAGTCACAATATTATTATAGAACATCAATAGATTTTCCTTTTATTTTTCTTCAAATTGGGCCCATCCTTGTCCAATGTTCTTGATTAACACTTCTAACAATGGTAAAAAGAATTATTTCTTCTTTTTTTTCCAAATTCATTACAAAATAAATTTGAATAATAATAAAATTTATTAGTAATATTTGAACTAAAACGTAAAATATAATGATTTCTTTATAGAGGTACAGATTGTTAGTGAGAAAAAGCTTTTATTTAGTGCGGAGGTGTTGAAATTGTAATGATAAGTAATTAGAGAATAAATTGAAGAAACGTAATGGGGTGAAGTGGTGACCCCATCCCGATGGCCTGATAGACCGAAAATTGAACGGGTTGACCACCAACCCGATTATGCCCACCCCTTCTGGGAGGAATATTAAGAGATGGGCAATTTTGAAGTTCAAATTTCGGGGAGAAAAATTTCGATCGGTTTTTAAAGTTCAAAAGCCGTAGCCACAACTACAAGGGCAGATTACTCAAAGGATATCTCAAGTTTGCATTTAATTAAAAGACTACAAGTTTTAAAGTGTGTAACTAAATAGTCATATTATGATAAGGGTAATTGTGCTTAATTAGGATTATTGAAGTATTATTAATCTTTTCAAATTATACTATATTCCACAAACCGAAATTGTTGCAAAACAAACCACATTCCCGCCATTAACGCATCTACCTATGCATTTCTTCTCTTCTTCTTAGCTTGTCACATCTTTCTTCATCTGCAACTTCTTCTTCTTCCTCCTTCCTCTGCATCTTCTTATTCCTCATCCTCTATACTTCTTGTTCCTCTGCCATTAACACTTATTCTCCTCACCATTAACATCTTCTCCGCCCAAGATCCTCCTCCTGACATTTCTCTAAGTGTATGTCCTTTTTATATTTTATATTTGATTTACAAGATTTAATAATGGATGGGGTTTGGGTTATGATTTTGATTTAGTTGTTTAGGTTGTTGGGTTGTGTTTGATGTAATGCAAGTTGAAAGGAGTGAAATTTGTTGAAAATTTGTTCTGGGTATGGTTCTGGGTTGATGGATCGATGTGGTGGGAGATGACTAAAAATGGTGTTCGGGTATGATGGATCGCTTAAGCGATATGGTATATCACTTAAGCGATCTGGTACGTCTGGTAATGCAGCAGATAATCGCTAAACGATCAGGTATGCAGCAGATAGATCGCAAGAATCTGGTAAAAGTCTGGTGTATAAGAGCAGATCGCTTAAGCAATCAGTAAATGGCATAAGATCGTTAAAGCGATCCAGTATAAATAACCATGATCACTTAAGCGATAAGCAGACCATATAAGCAAGTGCAGATTCTTTTTAAAATATTTGAACCTTAGTACAGCATTTAAGAATTTTTTTTCTTGCATTACAGGTAATGGCTATTATTACACATGGGACAAGTTGTTTTGGGTGTTGAAATTTTGGTGAGTGGGTGGAGAAAGCACATAGTTTGCAGGGATGGGAAGAGCAAAGAAGCTCTACCAATTGCTGTGAGCACAGAGGTTAGTTTTGATGAGTTGATTGATGAAATAATTAGAAGATGTAATTTGAGTTGCTCGCATAGTGATATAGTTGTGAAGTTCTTTTAAAGAGTTCCGAAAATTATAAGGTACCTCCTGTTATATTAAAGTCAGACGAAAGTGTGAAGTTAATATGACTGATGTGGCGATAATGGTGGAGGCTGATTTAAGGGTTTCTCTGTAGAAAAAACGTTGGAAATTGGTTCAAATGAAGGGGATACGAGGAAGTAGGCAGAGATTTGCCTGGTTTAATTGAAATACGAGGCCAATGATTGTGTAGTTGAAAAATCAAGAGTAGACGGTCAATTGGGGGGTGAGGAGGACACTGTAAAAGAGGGGTGGTGATGGGGGGCAGAATGAAAATGTTGAGGAGGAGGCCCCGTAGATGTTTCCACAGATGTGAGATTCCTTAAATACAGATTATGCAGAAGGCGTAGATTGTGAGGAAGAGAACACCATGGTCGTTTATGCAGGTTCAGAAAGGGCAATTGGAGGTAATAGTGGAATCAGCTCATGTTTTACGGATGGATCGGATGTTGAAAGAGGTAGTTATTTTTGGGCCACAAAATAGGGCTTGAGCTATGCCTTGGACCCTTAAGACCTCTTGAACAATTTTGTGAGCTTCCTTGAGTGTTTGGGTTGCTTGGGCCGAATGTTGTTCTTCATGTTGTCCTTGAGTCTTCATTGAAATCCTTAACATTTGTGATGAACATGATGGGCTTGGATTCTCATCAAGTCTGAAAAACAATAAAAAACTAGAGAGAAGTCCATGAAAATATATTAATCCCATATCTATATATTTTAAAGGGCCAACAAATCTTGTTTTAGGTTCAATAAGCCGAAACAAAAATCTAGATTTTTCAGGGTTCCAGTAGGTGAAAATAATCCATGAAGAGGTGTAAGCTTGAAATGGAAGGTGCTAAATAAAATCTTGACAACTAGAGAATGAGGTCCATGTCCACAACCTTCATGGCTAAGAACATGTAAATAATCTTGGCAGCATATTTTCTTCTTGAAACCTTGGGTTAATTGAATGGGTTTTTTTGCTAGCATGTGGTCATGTAGACATTACCACATGATTCTAGGCATAACAAATTGAGAATGATAGTGAAACATTTTAAATGGAATTTGAGAGAATGAAGCCTTTATGCTAAAAAAAAATTGGGAGGAAGATATGAACTTGCTATAAACAATCATGAATGAAAGTTTCAACCAATTCAAAAGGCAACCAGATGAATATGGCCAATTGAAGCACATATCATAAAAAAATTTCAAAACTAAGACTGACAAGTAGAAATAAGTTATAAAACGGCATTTACTAAAAGCCCAAAAATCTCTCCTCTGAAAGTTACATATGAAATTCAGAACTAATACTAATATGAACATGATGCAACTGATTTTCTTTTGGTTTATAGATCAACAAGTTATTTAATACTTCAACAATACTTGTAATGAGAACAGATCAAACTAGAATAAGACTTGGAATAGGAATAAAAAAACAAAATGGGAATGGGTATAGGTAACTAACCATCAGTGCATGATAACTGAAGTTTTTCATACCAGGGTTTGCCTTTACAACGCGAACAAAATAAAGAGAACCTACCTATAGCAAGAGCATTGGTAAAAAAAAAATGCAGATTATCACACAAAAGATTATCAAACCCAACAAATTAAAAATAAAATGTGATTATTGAACACGTACTCAATGTTTAGTACATAAGTAACAATGAAAATCAACAGATACTAATTGGAAAGCTAAGGATGTACTAAATGGCCTTCACAATTAATGGATATAAGATTTTAAATTTACACACCTCAAACCTTGACATGTTCCTCCTCTAAACCCTAAACCCTAAACCCCTATACTCCAAACCCTAATACCCTTAACCCTAAAACCCTAAACCTTAAGCAATAACCCAATCTTCACATGGGTTCCATGAGAAATCTGAAATTTTACTCGTGTGACCACCATGAATGAAGAGCAACTCAGGTGGACCATCTCCTGCATCCTCTGGTGTCTGCTCCTCATCCATCCTGCATAAGAATCACCAAATTAATCAACATAAAGCAAAACAGGAACAATTGAAAAGGGAGATTGTTAAATAAAATGGAAGGCCGGGAACTGAGACTTGATTACATCAAAAGGCTCCCAACTGAGACAAAAATGTTCAATCACAAACATGTTCAAATCCAATCACTCCCTTTTCAATTGAACACTTTAAAAAAAAAAAAAAAAAAAAAAAAAAATCCAATTATATCAAATATTCGAAACAAAAATAAGCAGTATATTCCATCCCGTTATCTATTCACTCCTATAGTACAGTCAAACACTATGATACTTTGTTGTATATTTTTACTTAATAGAACCAAAGTAACAGTAATGCATTGTGCTAAGGAAGACCCATCTGATTTTGTATCAGCAACAGGTGACATTACCAGATTAACCAAATAAAATGCTCAAGCAATCTCTGCGCCCACAAGGCTTCTCTTCCATAAAAAATATCAGTGCTCTAACTATTGTAAATAAACACTATTAATAGGTCATAAAAGATATCTAAAAACAAATAGGATTAAAAAAGAAAAGAAAAACTACTCTTCTACAAATGACAATCTCTTATGACTCTTTTGTGGGTTCATCTCCAGGTAAATCATCTTCATCATGGTAAATGTTCTCTGCCATCTGCCAAATTTGCAGAATGTTATCCTCTGCAACACTAGCAATAACCCAATCTTCACATGGGTTCCATGAGAAATCTGAAATTTTACTTGTGTGACCACCATGAATGAAGAGCAACTCAGGTGGACCATCTTCTGCATCCTCTGGTGTCTGCTCCTCATCAATCCTGCATAAGAATCACCAAATTAATCAACATAAAGCAAAACAGGAACAATAATCTAATTGCAAATGTCCAAAAGTAGCAGCCAGTATCACTCATTCAACAGATAGAGACGGAAGTGCACACTAAAGGAGTTCATATTCAACACAAAGTAAAATCCCATTCATTTTGATAATATATTAATACAAGAGTGCACAATCAATTTCCCATCATTTAAATCTCTTAGATCGAAAAACATATGGATTTCTTCAGAAATTGCTTCACTGTAGAAGAATGAAATAAGTATACTCAGAAATCACAAATTGAATAATTGGGATTTTATGTACAAACCTGCTGAGGTCCCAAACCATAAGCCTTCTACCAAGACAACAAGAAGCTAAGATAGTCTCATTTTTTGGATTCCACCCAACTTGAAAAACCTCTTCCCTGTTGTGTACATTGCAGCCAAAAAAAGATCAAAATATCAGACTTAGTATTTCTTTTGGTTGAAAGTGCATATGCATAAAGACAAGAAACAAGATTTTCACTTGAAAGAAGTAGAATTTTAAGGATCCAAGAAATACTCATAGAAATGTCCCAAAAAGAAAAACATCATCATGCTCAGGAGAATTCTTACTTGTGACTATCAAATGTGTGGAGTGCAGTACTAATTTTGCGCAGATCAAATAACTTAACCGTCTTATCAGTAGACCCCGTTGCTAAAATCCACTCATTAAATGGATTAAATGCTAGGCAGTTCACCTAACAAAAGATTTTTAAGATCATAACCATGTCAAATGCATAAATAACATGAAACCTTATTTCAAAACAATAGCAGAGAAGACAGTAATTGATACTTAAAAAAGATTTGGCTCTAAAGGCAGACAACATTAAATACATAAAATCAGATTGATAGATCCAAGTCACAGTTTCAATTCTTACAGAAGAGCTTGGTCTCAAAAGGCTAAGGGTAGATCATTCTAGAACGAGACGCTAAATAACTGACAATCTAAGTCTAAAATGTATATACCATTCAATCATTAATCATTTAAATAAAAAAAAAAAAAAAGAGAGGGGGAGGGGGGGTGTTTGGGGGTTGAAGGCCCTTAACCACAAGCTTTGAAATTGCAGCAATCAATCATAGGTGGGGCTGACCTCTTACAAGATGTAAAGTTGGAGACAGCTTTAAGACGGAAATAGTTGTGCAAATAGTATCTAATTCATTGGTCTAGTCAAACCAGAAACATTTTAAAGTCTGTGTTATGTGTGTACATGTGCATGCGTTTCTTCATGAGAATTAAAGCACATGCATCCAGACACCCACCTCACTCTGGTGAGCAACAACAGATTGGACAGGCTTGCTGACTGATGGTGTCCGTAGATCCCATATAAGAAGGTATTGATCATCCCCAACAGAACCAAATAAGTATTCATGTCTCAGATGCCATGCTACATCTTCAACAACACCTTCGTGAACCTATTTTAGCGCAAAAAATGTCAATATCCAAAACACCAAGCAATACTAGCAGAAACACATTTAGTAAAGTGTCTATAGTTGATTAGAGATATAATATATCTGATTTTCAGTGTCAGGAGCATTATTGAACTATGAAATGCTAAAATAAAGTTTGCATTCTTATATCTAGGTTTTTGCTACAAGATATCAACTACAAGTGGTCTTTCATCAACTCTGATTGTACAAAATGACAAATTCACTATAGATGCAGAGAGTACCTTAAAAATCTGTGTAGCCTCAAGGGCTTTATTTTTAGGAGTTGCATTAATATCCCACAAACATATTTGGGCATCATCAGAACCACTGAGCAAATGACCCTGCTTGAACTTGCTCCAAGATAAACCGTAACCTTCAGTGGTGTGGCCTCTGAGCCTTAAATCAGGACTACATGCACCATCCAGAGGAGGCTTAGATGGGTGTTTGCTATAATCAAAGACATAGACTTCGGCACTAACAGTCTTGGTTGCAATAATAAAAGGGTTTTGAGGCATATAACGAGCCCGATTAACCTCTCCATCATGGTTAATTTGCTGAATAATTTGAACTTTGCCATTAGCACATCCAAAACCACCAAAATCAGAGCGGTCATCATCATAATGGCGGGCATCATTTTCAGAATCATCAAGAGGAAGCTGGACCTGGGCAAGCATAAGATAATTGGGCTCATTCTCGGAAGTGTGGGTTCCTAAGATCATCTTCTGAACAGAATAGTCTTTGCCAGGTGGCTCCTCTCTGTCAGGCAGCCACTCAACAGTAAGAGAAGGCCATTCAAGAGCGTGGGTGATCACTAGATCATACAAAAAAGGAGTGTTCTTCTTCCAGATCTTGTATTCTTCATTTATCAACCTTTCCTCTATCTCTCCTCTCATTTCTTCCTCGTCTTTTCCCATTCCTCGTCTCTCAGTTTCCCAGTAAACACAAACCCTAGAACCAAGTTCAAATATATTACACTTCAGCAAAGAGCCTAATTCTCTGAGACTTGACAGTATATTGTAAAATCCTCTACTAATCAAACAAACAAAGAACAATTTTTACACTACGCAAATATACCCACAATAGAGATGGGCGTGAAGCAGGGCCGGGGACCCCATCTCCGCCCCCGCCCCACTTCAGGGATGACTTGCTAAAAACCCACAATAAACATCCAAAAAAATGCCTAAAAAAATGCTCCACACCCACAATGAATAGCATAACTAGCTCATCCCCCCCACAAACAGCTTGTAAAACTGCACAAATCAGCCCCATACCTTGGTTCAAAAGCAGCTTCGAACACCCAATAATTTGCCTAAAAAGGCTGCTCGAACACCCAAAATTTGCCTAAAAGGCTGCTCCAAACACCCACAACATAGCCCAAAAACCTGCACATAAATTGTGGTAGCAGTCCATAAATCAGCACAAATCAGCCCCATAACTTGCTTAAAAACCACCAATAACATAAAAAAATGCAAAAAAATATGTTCCAAAACCCACAATGAATAGCTATAAAACTAGCTCATCACCCCACAAACAGCTGTAAAACTACACAAATCTGCTCCAACCTTGGTTAAATGAGCTTCGAACACCCACAAATTTGCCTAAAAAGCTTCTCCAAACACCCACAACTAATAGCCAAAAAACCTGCACTTAATTGTTGGTCACAGTCCATAAATCTACGCAAAAATCAGCCCCATAACTTTCTAAAAACCATCAATAAACATCCAAAAAAATGCCTAAAAAAATGCTCCAAACACCCAAATGAATAGCTTCAAACCAGCTCATCTCCCCCACCAAAACAGTTTGTAAAACTGCACAAAACATTATCCTACGAAATGAATGTGTATTAAAAATCTATACATCGAGTTTATCGTAAACATTAATGATATTCTAAAACTTGCCATTTGCCACATCAAATTTATTTTGATTGTTTTCATAACACACGCAGAAAAAGAAAAAAAAAAAAAGGCCATAGCCTTTCCTCTTGTTCTGATCCTCAAAATGCATATCTCAATCACACAGTAACTTTCCTAACCAGTAACTCAGCTTGAAATACCCACTAACCATACGAAAATTGCATTATTAGAGGGAAATAGGGTGTAATCACATCTGGGAAACGGTATCGACTACCGAGCTTGCGCCTTGCGGTTTCTTGCCTATGCTCCTGAAAAGACAATCTAAAGAGCTTCAGTCTTCAACTATCAAGCCGGCCAGAGATCGTTAATTTCGCAAGGACAAGAGAATAGTAACGTCGGACACCAAGAAGACCGGAGCTGCTCGTCGGAACTTTAAGTGTCGAGCGGCAGAAGTGGGGAGTTCAGCGGCGCGGACGGAATTTAGGTTTGGGTGTGCGCATTTCTGGGTATGATGGGTCTATACATGCAGGATAAATCTGTAAATATTTGAAATGTCCAGGCATTGTAATTTCTGCTACGGGCAATAAGGGAGTTTTTAGTCACAAATTATTTTATTATAAATAACATCATAGATTTTCCTTTTATTTTTCTTCAAATTGGGCTCCATCCTTGTCCAATGTTTCTTGATTAATCCACTTCTAACATGGTAAAAAGATTATTTCTTCTTTTTTTTCCTAAATTCATTACAATAAATTTGAATAATAATAATAAAATTTTATTAGTAATATTTGAACTAAAACGTAAAATATTAATGATTTTCTTATAGAGGTACAGATTGTTAGTGAGAAAAAGCTTTATATTTTGCTGGGAGGTGTTGTAAACTTGTAAGATAAGTAATTAGAGAATAAATTGAAGGAAACGTAATGGGGTGAAGTTGGTGACCCCATCCCGATCTGGCCTGATAGACCGAAAATTGAATCGGGTTGACCACCAACCCGATTATGCCCACCCTTCTGGGGAGAATATTAAGTGATGGGCAATTTTGAATTCAAATTTCGGGGAGAAAAATTTCGATCGTTTTTTAAAGTTCAAAAGCCTTACCACAACTACAAGGGCAATTACTCAAAGGATACTCAAGTTTGCATTTAATTAAAGACTATCAGTTTTAAAGTGTTAACTAATATCATATTATTGTTAAGGGTAATGGTGCTTAATTAGATTATTGAATTATTATCTAATCTTTTCAAAATTATACTATATCCCACAACCCGAAATTGTGCAAACCAACCACACTTCCCGCCATTAACGCATCTCTACCTATGCATCTTCTTCTCTTCTTCTTAGCTTCGTCTATCTTCTTCTTCATCTGCATCTTCTTCTTCTTCCTCCTTCCTCTGCATCTTCTCTTTTCCTCATTCCTCTATATCTTCTTGTTCCTCTGCCATTAACACTTTATTCTCCCTCCACCATTAACATCTTCTCCGCCAAAGATCCTCCTCCTGACATTTCCTCTAAGTATGTGTATGTCCTTTTTATTTTATTTAGATTTACAAAGATTTAATAATGGATGGGGTTTGGGTTATGATTTTGATTTAGTTGTTTAGGTTGTTGGTTGTGTTTGATGTAATGCAGTTAAAGGAGTGAAATTTGTTGAAAATTGTTTCTGGTATGTGTTCTGGGTATGATGAATCGATTGTAGTGGAGATGTAAAATTTGTTCTGGGTATGATGGATCGCTTAAGCGATATGGTATATCACTTAACATCTGTACGTCTGTAATGCAGCAGATAAATCGCTTAAACGATCAGGTATGCAGCAGATAATCGCTTAAGCAATCTGGTAAAAGTCTGGTGTATAAGAGCAGATCGCTTAAATCAGTAAATGGCATAAGATCGCTTAAACGCTCCAGTATAAATAACCATGACCACTTAAGCGATATGCAGACCATATAAGCACGTGCAGATTCTTTTTAAAATATTTGAACCCTTAGTACAGCATTTAGAATTTTTTTTCTTGCATTACAGGTAATTGCTATTATTACACATGGGACAGTTGTTTTGGGTGTTGAATATTTGGTGAGTGGGTGGAGAAAGCACATAGTTGGCAGTGGTTGGGAAGAGCAAAGAAGCTATACCATTGCTGTGAGCACAGAGGTTAGTTTTGATGAGTGTATGATAAATAATTAGAAGATGTAATTTGAGTTGCTCGCATAGTGATATAGTTGTGAAGTATCTTTAAGCAGAGTTCCCGAAAATTATAAGGTACCTCCTGTTATATTAAGTCAGAGAAAGTGTGAAGTTATATTACTATGTGGCCGATAATGGTTGGAGGCTGATTTTAAGGGTTTCTCTTGTAGAAAAACCGTTGGAAATTGGTTCAAATGAAGGGGATACGAGGAAGTAGGCAGAGATTTGCCTGGTTTTATTGAACTACGAGGCCATGATTTGTTAGTTGAAAAATCAGAGTAGACGGTCAATTGGGTGGTGAGGAGGACACTGTAAAGAGGTGGTGTGATGGGGGCAGAATGAAAATGTTGAGGAGGAGGACCCCGTAGATGTTTCCACAGATGTAGAGATTCCTTTAAATACAGATTATGCAGAAGGCGTAGATTGTGAGGAAGAGACAACCATGGTCGTTATGCGGTTCAAAAGGGCAATTGGAGGTAATAGTGAATCACTCATGTTTTTACGAGTGGATCGGAGTTGCACATAGGGTATTTATTTGACAACAAAAGGAAGTGGTGAGGAAGCTAAAACTTGTTGCCGTGAGAGTTAATTTTGAGTTCATCACCAAAAAGTCAAATCTGGCTGTGACGGTTCCATGTCGTGACCGAAAGTGCAAGTGGCAGATTTTTGTAGAGTTGGCAGAGTTGGAAAAATTTATGCTTCACATATACCTGTGAGCACACTTGTGGTTTGGGACTATTTCGTGAGCATCGACAAGCATCCACTGATGTTATTGGACAATTTGTCAAAAGTCGGTTGTTGAAGGGAAAGGTCCATCTCCTAAGACATTCAGAGACTTGTGCGCACAGAGTTGGGATGTGCTGTTAGTTACTGAAATGCTAGAAAGGGAGACAACATCACAAGATTTTGTTAGGGGCACGCTGGAGCACGAGTACGCAGTATTAGAAGCGTACCGTTATATGCTTGAGTTGATAAACCAAGGTAGCAAGATGGCTTTGAGTGGGACAGGAATAGATGTTTAAATATTTTTTATTGCTTATGGTTCTGCTATAAGGGGTTTTGTAACATGAGAAAGGTGTTGGCTGTTGATGGTTGCTTTCTAATGGGAAAGTATGGAGGTACATGTTTGTGTCACTACAGGACAGCGAGAATCACACATATCCTGTTACATGGTGTGTGGTTGACTCTGAGAACGAGTCGTGGACTGTGTTTTTTCACAGTTACAGACGATAGTGCCTAGCACGGATGAGTTTGTGCATAAATCCGAAGCACAACTCTATAAAGAAGGGGATTGCCACTATTTACCGTCAAGCACATCACGGATTCTGTATGAGGCACCTGGGTGAGAACATAAAACAAAAGTTTAATTGTGCTAGCCTCCTTCAACATACTACATGGCAGCAAAAGCTTATCGGGTTGATGCGTTCGAGGAGCACTTCCTGCAAATCCGAATCGATGATAGAGTTGCTAAGTATCTTGAGCATGATTTGGTTTGAGCGATGGAGTAGAGCTTCTTTCCTGGAAGAAGGTTTGATGCATGACCACGACATAGCCGAGTCCATAAATTTGAAGTTATTAATTGAAAGAATTTCTAATAGTTGCACTTTTTGATGCAATCCAAAGGACACTGTCGCAGTGGTTCCATGAGCGTCGTACGGAGTCAGATAATTTTACTACGCCCTTGTTCCGTCAGCTAAAAAATTATTGCGAGAACGTATGGAACTATCAAATGCACTGTTTGCCTACCTCTTAATGCTCAAGAGTCCTGTGCGCGGCTATGGTCCAGATGCTCTAGTTAACCTTGTTAGAAAAACTTGCAGCTTAAAGTGTTTGACATTCAACGTTTACCTTGTCCTCATGCACTAGCAGCACTAAAACACCAACGGAGCCGGATTTTGGTTCAAGAATTTACATGGAACTTTGCTCCCCTCTCTATATGACAATCACTACATGCTAGCTTATCAGAAATGATATATCCGGTGCCTCCAAAGAGGAGTGGGTAGTGCCGCGCAGAGTGGCTAACTTATCACCACCTGCCATTCAAGAAGACAGCAAAGGGGAGAAAAAGATTAACATATGCCATCAGCCTTTGAGGTTCCGGGGACGATGAATAAGTGCTCAATTTGCAAGCAACCTAGCCACAAGAGAAGTAGTTGCCAAAAGCAATCACATGCACATCCAGAAAATTAGGTTCAAAGAAGGATGAAATTCAGGGAGTTGCCAAGGCCAACCATTGATGAGTTATTGTTTTCAATTATTGATGTTATAAATTTTATATTTCTTGTTACATGGCCTAAATATTTGTTGTTGATTTTAGTTTGGAATTAGGTT